TCCAATTATTTTAATATTTACTATTCTAGTAATAATGTTGATATCTGTAATGTTACCAAATAACCAATTGATGATTGTGTATTATTATTACTACACAAATGTATAATGTAAGATGTACTATGAACAATTAATAATATTCTATATATGTACCTATCTTCACGATCTTCTGCACAAATTGGGCTAATGAAGACGTGTATACTATACTATATGGTAGTAAGGAAGGAACTTATATATAAAATATAGTTACTATGATACAGGGCACAGCTCACGGTAGAAATCTTGTCAAAGTGATACAGGACATATCCAATGGTAGACATCTTGTAAAAACTTTGTGGTATGAAGCCTATTTAATCTTAAATTTGACTTTCAAAGCTTTTGAATATGATATAGAACATATGGAAGAATCGTATTGAATTTTAAATTTTACTTTCAAAGCTTTCCAATATAATTGATTCCTTACGGAATTTTAGGAAATTGGACCTTTTAGAATTTGATCAGCTGGAATTGCTGTCATTGCATTTAGAGCTAGAGTGAGCGACTTGTTGACATTAAATTTAGAGCTAGAGTCTGACAACCCCTTGTCTATGTTTTTTCTTTTACAAATAATTTGTAATAATTGTCTCTACTTAGCAGTAATATAATGTTATAATAAAGGAGGGTTAGAGGGCCGAATGGTTAGCACGTGCGCGTTGTATCACAAGGTCTGCCATTGAGTCAAATAGGGTGATTTCGATTTCCCGGTTGTACGTGAAAAGTAGTAGGGTTGCCTGTCCAACCTTGTGGGTTTTCTCCGGGTCTTCAAGTTTCTTTCCACTGCTAAAAACCCCTACGTGCAAGCGAAGTATTGAAATAAAATTGAACCATATGTTAGACCCGAAATGACCTAGTTTGTGTCGACTATGAAATATCTTTTGGATGCTCTAGAGGCTAAAGTTAATATTCGATTTACTTTAGATTGATACACGGTGTTTAATGTCTTGAGACGAACAAGTGTATTGATTTTCAATGATATTTGATAACTTGAACAGCTAAATCCATGATATTAAATGTTTCGTTTACTAAACGTTAGCATGGGGCAGAACTAAAAGCCAAACCAATCCTAATGATTTTCTGATATTTATTCAATGAGTTGTTACTCTTAATCAGATTTTAGTGTATTACCGATAAAAGAAAGACATATGCGACAACTCTTGTTGACAGACCGGACGACTTAGCTGCTGTGGGCGTATGTTTCGTTCCCTGGAAACCGATTTTTGCTAATTAATGTTATATGCAAAGATCTTATTGTCTGTTCTTGTCGGTTTCATATTCGAAATGTCGTTAAATATTGATTTAAAAACAAATTATTTAGTAAATATCCGTTGCATTCATTTGAAACAGAAGAAGAGCTTGTCGTCGGTGGGGAGTCAAAAGGTCGTATCTGGCATGTTCTGCGAAATTCACTTTTTTGCTTCTTCAGAATGAGGATTTTCTTGCGCATCTTTTCATCTAGTTGTCGTATTTCTTAGCCAATAAAAAGAGGTTTTATAGATATTGTTTCAAAATGTCGTATATATTGTTCCAAAACAAAAAAAATATGAAGAGTGAAAATGTCGTATTTTTTTTTTAAAAAAGTCAACTTTGTGTCTGACCAAAGTATTACATCAAACGAAATGTAGCCAGTATTGTTTTATAGTTATATATTATTATTATTATTATTATTACAGCATATTTATAGTGCACCCTTTCATATAACATGTTCAGGGGCACTTTACAAAGTGACAATGTAAATCATACATAAACAACAAGATTATGGGCATGTTAGCGTTTGTATACAGAGTCAGTTAAAAGCCTGATTAAATAAATGTGTTTAAGTTATTTTTTAAAAGAATATAGAGATGTACAACATCTTAAACTAAATGGTAGATTATTCCATAAAACAGGTGCTTAATAACTAAAAGAGCGCTGACCGTAAGAGACTAGTTGAACAGTTTTGGGCTTTAAAAGTAGTGTATCTGATGTACGTAATGTTCGATCAGGTGTATAAAGTTCTTAAAGATCTGAGAGGTAAACAGGAGCTAAATTATTTAAACATTTAAAAGTAAGTAATAAAATCTTAAAATCAATTCGATATTTCACAGGTAACCAGTGTAAATTATATAAAACAGGAGTTATGTGGTCACATTTCTTAGTTAAAGTAACAAGTCTAGCCGCAGTATTCTGTACTTTTTGTAATTTATCTATAAGCTTTAAAGGTAAACCAACTAAAAGTGAATTAAAGTTATCTAATCGAAAAATGACCAGAGAATTAACAAGTGACTTAGTGGCCTCTACAGTTACACATTTACGTATTTTACCTATATTTCTGATATTAAAATAGCACAATTTACAAATATTATTTACTTGAGCTCCCATAAGCATAAAGCTATCAAAGATTGCGCCAATATTACGAGCAGAATAAGATGAAAATATATCACAATTACCAATTACAACAGGGGGGTTATCATGTGCAGATTTACTTAATTGATGCCTTGAGCCTAATAACAAATAATCGGTTTTATCATCATTTAATTTTAGAAAGTTCTTTGACATCCATTTTCTAATTTCACTAATACAGTTCTCAAGTTGCAATTTTGATAAATTGAAAGAAGATGGACAATCAGGTGTAAATGAAATATATAATTGAGTATCATCGGTATACAAATGAATTATAGAAATTATTGCTGAGCCTCTACTGTGTGAATTCTATGAAATTGAAGCAGGTAAAGGTTAATATTTTCCTGAGATACGTCTTTGCTGTATAAAATTGCAAATAACTAGCTTTCACTCTTTATTTCTGCACTAAATGTTGACCTTGATACGTGCGGATAGTTACATATTGTTTTAATGGCTACACATACACTTTGTACAGAAATATTTAAGAAAAGCTTCAGAAATACATTTTACATACGACATTTTGACGTGGCGGTTTTATTAGACATTTTGATTCTTAACCCCTGTGTGTTTTTGACTCTCCTGGATAATTTCGCAAAATACAGATACGACCTTTTGACTCCCCACCGACGTTGTGCAATTATTCATATTTGTTAAGTTAAAATTGAAATTTCGATTACGCCAACAAATTAATCTATTATCAGTACCGACATGACAGATTGTTTAATACAGAGATTGTTTATTATAATTAAGATTGTTTAATACAGAGTTTGTTTATTATAAATAAGATTGTTTAATACAGGGTTTGTTTATTTTAATTAAGATTGTTTAATACAGAGTTTGTTTATTGCTTAAATAAAATTAAAGTCTGTTTGGGTAATGTTGTTAATAGAAGATGTAAACTGTTTATATTTTAGGAATATCGCCCAGCACTTACCCGCATATCCTTTTCAGTACTGAATTATGTACAGTGACATTAAATGAGTAGTAATAGTTCCACTATATCGTTTCCCTTATATGATGGGATGTGTTGTCCATGGTTATAGCGGAGTTGATAAGTTCGTGCTGTTCCACTATATCGTTTCTCGGTATAGGTGTAGCATTGTTTTCTATGATGGGATGTGTTGTCCATGGTTACAGCGGAAGTGATACGTTCGTGCTGCTTCACTATATCGTTTCTCGGTATAGGTATAGCACCGTTTTCCATGATGGGATGTGTTGTCCATGGTTACAGTGGAAGTGATAAGTCCGTGCTGCTGTTGGAGATTGTGCTGTCAATCGTGTGACTCCTGTGTAATGTCCAACCTACCCGCCTTTCAACACTAGTCTATCATATAATTATATTGCCTACAAATTTGCTTGAGTTACCCCGTCATCTCCATCCATTGCCTACAATCTTGTGAGCGTGATAAACGCTAAAATTTGTGTTGGCATTTCTTGTGAAACACCGACGAGCTGTATCAATATTCACCATTCGTCTGCCTTCCGTTACTGAGTAACGGGGGATATCGTGGATAATGTGGACATGTGTTCAAGGGTTTCTGTGTTATTAGGTGTATCCTGTAGGATACAATATAAATGTCTAAATTATTTTATTTAATACTTAATTACTTAAAAGATAGAAATATGTTTAATATATTTTTCAGAAAGGCAGTAAAATGGCATATTAAAATAACAAATATTATAATTGAAGTGTGTATGCTATAGTAAAATAACAAATATTACAATTGAAGTGTGTATGCTATAGTAAAATAACAATTATATTTGAAATGTGTATGTTATAGTAAAATAACAATTATATTTGAAATGTGTATGTTCTAGTAAAATAACAATTATCATAGTTGAAGTGTGTAGGTTATAGTAAAATAACAAATATTATAGTTGAAGTGTGTATGTTATAGTAAAATAAGTTTGTATGTTATAGTTTGTAATAATTTAATACTTTCTTTAGTTTAAATCATGGCAGCATGATTTTGGATTGACAATTCTCAGTATTTTACTTTACAAATCTGCGCATTATTTTCAACTCAAATTAATAACAAGGCTAATAAATATATAAATACATAGATAGCCTATGTAAAAACCACAGTACTTCCAACACAAACAGATAAATATATAAATATAATTCCAAAGCATTAATCTATTTCTAAGATTCTGATATAAGAGTATATAGTTAGGAAGTTAGGTTCAGGTTGTTTCGAAAATCGCGTACAAAATGTCTACTATGTTAAATGAGTGGGCAGTGATGTCCGATACTCTGAACCTTGATTCTTAAGTTGGGGCTCCCCTTCCCATGGGGTGGGGGATCTCGCAAAACTTCGAATTTTCGAGTTTAATTCGACTTTTGCGTACAACAATCAACTTTCGTGCATAAGTCGACCAATTTCAGATGTCGCCAAAAACACTGCTTAAGAAGACCCCGACCCTTCCTTCCTTCCTTAAGAACATCCCCTTTACCCCCCCCCCCCCCCCCACCCGAGAGAGGGGTTAATTCGACTTTTACGTACAACATTAATTTTTCCGTTTAAAGTTTCACTATTGATTCGCTAGAACATAACACTAACTTAAGAACGCGAAATCCCCTTCCATTCCGGATAAGAACGACAAAAAGGGTGGCCTATGGGTGAAATAAACAAAATGACGATTTAATTCGACTTTTGCGTACAACAATCAACTTTTGTGGATACGTCGATCAAAATCAGATATCATCAAAAAGACTGCTTAAGAAGACCCACGACCCTTCCTTCCTCCCTTAAGAACACCCCTCTTACCCCCGGAGAGTCGAGTTAATTCGACTTCTGCGTACAATATTAATTTTTTCCATAAAAGTTTCACTATTGGTCCGCTAGAACAGAACACTAACTTAAGAACGCGAAATCCCCTTCTATCCCGGATAAAAACGACAAAACGGGGGACCCATGGGTGAAATGACCAACATGACGATTTAATTCGACTTTTGCGTACAACGATCAACTTTCGTGCATACGTCGACCAACCTCAGATGTCATCAAAAACACTGTTTAAGAAGACCCACTACCCTTCCTTACTCCCTTAAGAACACCCCCTTTATACCCCCCCCCCACCCTTAGAGATGCGTTAATTCGAATTCCGCGTACAGCATTAATTTTTTTCGTTACTAATTTCACTATTGGTACACTAGAACATAGCACTAACTTAAGAACGCAAAATCCCCTTCTATCTCGGATAAGGGCGAGAAAACGGGGGGCGGGGCAAGGGTGATATGGCCAAAACGGACGATTTAAGTCAACTTCAGCCTACAAATATCATCCTTTCTGCCTATGTTAAATCCCATAATGTATCTTTAATTTAAGTTTATTCTGTATACGAAGTTTTTTACATGTATTAATGAAGATAGTTATAACTAGCCACGTGGTCATCTTTTCACTTCAATTGTTATCTCCTGATAGGACTGAGTTGTTGATAAGTACTGGGTTGTTGATTTATAGTTTGTTTATCCAGTACCTCATATGGTGATGATGTTGTGGATGTGTTGATATAGTCAGTATTATCAGACAGGGTGGTACTGGCCTGTGTAACACCTGTATTAGTAGATAGGGTGGTACTGGCCTGTGTTATACCAGTATTAACTCGGTCATAAATATGTGGAGTATCAGACAAGGTGATATTATCTAACTCTGTATTGTGACTGACTGTATCATTAGCTACTGTTTTATCACCTGTACAGGTACAAATAGTGTGACAGAGTATCAGGCAAAGTGGTGTTATCTAACCTTGTATTGTGACTGACTCTGTCATTAACTAGGACTACTGTTTGTTAGCATCTATAGAATTATTATCATTCGCTTCTTTAAAGCAAATTTTCTTTCCGCTTCTCTTTAAGATAAACCAGAGTAGAAGGACAGTAATACCCAAAACCAGAAGACATATACCCAATCCAATAGCTATACCAACGCCACGTTCTCTGGAAATTACGTCATTATCACCAAACTGATTTGAACAAGTACACCCTCCATTTTGTGACGTCACAGCAAGGTTAAATACAGTGGAATTGGAACCAAGGCTGTTATTAACATAAACTATATATTTCCCGTCATCATCTTCTGTAACATCTTGTATAGTTAATGTTGATGATAAACCATTATCTTCTTGTCTAATTCTAAAATCTGTAATCAGTTGTTTACTACCATCCTGTAGTTGATAATACCAGGTATATACAGGTAGTGGATAAGCTAAAACATGGATTGATAATACACCTGTCTCTCCACGTCCTACAGATATAGTAGTTTTAGTTTCTTGGTTAGGATCAAGAACAGGCACACCTGAAATGAAATAAAAGACATCTGAATAAAGCATATCAATAACCGCATTTTTAACCCCATAAAGCGTTTTTTGTTACTAGAAATCACAAATTACTATATACTGGAAAACGCCGGAAAACTACCGGAAAAAACCATGTTATACTGAATATCGGAAAACACCGTAAAACACTAAATACCGGAAAACACACTAAATGCCAGAAAACATCCTAAATAGGTAACCCGGAGTCTGGCAGCCTAAATAGGTAACCCGGGGCCCGGCACCCTAAATAGGTAACCCGGAGCCTGGTCCTCTGTGTGCCTTGATTAGGGTTAGGGTAAGGGTTAGTTTCCGGTTTATACTATAGCCTGGCTCTGGGTTACCTCTTTAGGGTGTTTTCCGGTATTTAGTGTTTTTCCGGTGTTTTCCGGTATTCAGTATAACATGGTGTTTTCCGGTAGTTTTTCGGTAGTTTTCCGGTAGTTTGCCGGTGTTTTTCGGTGTTTTCCGGTGTATAGTATAGCCCTTATTTCTAGTATTGGTAGAAAATAATTATCAAGAACATGTACTTACATCTAACATAGAGTTGACTAGTTTTAGATACAGATTCACCAATATTATTAGTAGCTCTACAGGTATAGTTATCTGTATGTTGACAACTAGCTTTAGGTATGGTATATTGACTACCAAAATAGAGTTGTACCCCTTGTTGTGATCTAGATCAGGATATTACAGAAGATGGAAGACTGTAAACAGAACAGACGAAGGTTACAGTAGAATCTTCATCTACCCTGTGTTGGTAGCATCTGATGTTAGACGTGTGATGGCCGGTGGATCTGAAATTAATTTGAATTTGCTTAAAGTTGTGGAAAAACAGTGATATACATTTTCTTTCCTTTCGTTTGATATTATTTCCTAGGACATGAATTTTTACCAACTAAACTAAAATTGGGCATTTCAAAAATCTTTAATACAATGGTATTTTACAGGTTGGTTGATTACTGGTTATTTAAAATTCAAATCCTGCTGCTATAATTATGAGTAAAACTAGCGATTGCCAAGCAAGATACGTCCACATTTTGTAAGATATGGACAGAAAACAAGCCTATTAAAAGCGATTTTTCACACAAAATCAGAGTCCATGTTCCAGAAAGTTACTGTCCGATATGCACGAATATCGAAATGATACGAGATCATTACAAGATAAACCTATATTTTAAGTGTCGTCAAAATCGGATAAAAATTGTGACCCGTAGAGTGTCCACAAACAAAATGTGAATGGACGGACGGACAGGGGCTACTGCAACATACGTCCACATAAAAATGTGGCCGTATAAAAAACAGTTTTGTCATAGCACACACTATTTAAATTACATATTGTTAGATCGTGTTTGTAAAGATGCATACTCGGGCTACCATGCCCATAGCACTAGCTCCACAAAACGTACCCATAGCACATATGAAAATCATATTCAAAAGTTTCTTGTCAATTTTTTTTACTGAATTTTTGAAAAGATGAGTCTTTAATCAAGATTTGACGATTGGTAAAGAAGTCACAAATGATCGATAGCATATAATATCTTGACGTATTATAAAATCAAATAAGAATGTTATCAACTTACAATGAACTATAACCATTAGTTGTTTAGATTGACGTGAACCAGGTATCCGTGTGTTTGTAACCTGACAGGTGTAATTACCAGCTTGTTGTCTCGTGATGTTGGTCAGTGATAGAAGACCACTACTACCACTAGGAGCAGATCCTTTTTTCCAGTTGATATTACACGGTGGATTACAGTCAGCTGAACAAGTTACATTTCTACTTTCATTTTCTATCACTGTTATACTAGAACTTGTTGGTGCGAATCTGATATTCTCTGGTCCATCTGTTAAAGGGAATATTATAGGAAAGTTAAAATAGTCGCATCAATTGGGATGTATGGGGTGGTATATTTGAATTACCACTTAAGGATTTTTGCACAATCATGGACTTTCATCAAACACCTAGCTTTAAAATCAACATAGAACAAGCAATTACCATGCAAGATATGCGCAGGGACTGCTATGGTTCAGTGAGTAAGAAGTAGGCTCGTTAACCCGGTAGTCCAATGTTCGATCCTGGCAAGGGGCAACCTAATATAATAGTGCAGATGGGACGAACCTGTGGGGTCCTGTGTACCCATTTGTGTGCACTTAAAAGAACACATGAATGTTGAAATTCAAAATAAGAGTAGGCTGTGCGGGGCTAAATTTCTTTTATAGCACACACTGTATGGTGCATGACCATCTTCATAAGTCAAGTCAGTATAGAATAGTAGAACGTTACATATCATGGTTCATTTCCCATTCTTCCGTCGAATTTGAAAAAGAATCTGGTAAGAAAAAATGCAACCTATATGGGCAGTGTGAAGTTAACTCGATTTTCGTTTTTCGATATTGGTGGATAATATTCAAACTTGAATCTCAAAAAAGTAGATTTAATGGATGTACATCGACAGAATGTCTCCAAAACATATTTGATCTAATCAGTTTTGTAAAACGAACTAAATATATCGTAATAGAGGATACCTGAGCAGTGTATTCACATAAAAACTGTTCTTTCTCTTTGTTTTTTAATATTGGCGAATCTCGAAAAACGAGCTACTCGTTTTTCAATATTCAAACTTGAATCTCAAAAAAGCAGATTTGATGGTTGTATATCTACAGAATTTCTCCAAAACACATTTGGTTAAATACGTTTTCTAAAACGAACTAAAAATATCATAAATGAGGATGCCTGAGCAGTGGATTCACATAAAACTGATATTTCTCCTTGTTTTTTGATATTGGCGAATCTCAAAAAACGAGCTACTCGTTTTTCGATATTCAAACTTGAATCTCAAAAAAGCAGATTTGATGGTTGTATATCTACTGAATGTCTCCAAAACACATTTGATTAAATCAGTTTTGTAAAACGAACTAAAGATATCATTAATGAGGATGTCTGAGCAGTGGATTCACATAAAAATTACTCTTTCTACTTGATTTTTGATATTTGCGAATGTCGAAAAACGTGTAGCTTGTTTTTCAATATTCAGGCTTGAATCTCAAAAAGCACATTTGATGGATGTATATCTACAGAATGTCTCCAAAACACATTTGATTAAATACGTTTTCTAAAACGAACTAAATATATCATTAATGAGGATGCCTGAGCAGTGGATTCACATAAAACTGATATTTCTCCTTGTTTTTTGATAAGTATTCTAAAACAAACTAAAAATATCATAAAATAGCCCGTTTTTCGAGATTCGCCAATATCAAAAAAACAAGGAGAAAGAGCAGTTTCTATGTGAATCCACTGCTCAGGCATCCTCATTAATGATATCTTTAGTTCGTTTTACAAAAAAGTAGAAAGATCAGTTTTTATGTGAATACACTGCTCAGGCATCCTCTATTACGATATCTTAAGTTCGTTTTACAAAACTGATTTAATCAAATGTGTTTTGGAGACATTCTATCGATGTACATCCATTAAATCTACTTTTTTGAGATTCAAGTTTGAATATTCGCCAATATAAAAAAAAAAACAAGGAGAAAGAGCAGTTTTATGTGAATCCACTGCTCAGGCATCCTAATTGGTGATATTTTAGTTCGTTTTAGAATACTTATATAATCAAATGTGTTTTGGAGACATTCTGTAGATATACATGATTAAAATTTGTATTTTTGACATTCAAGCCAATATAAAAAAAACAAGGAGAAAGAGCAGTTTTTATGTGAATACACTGCTCAGGCATCCTCTATTACGATATATTTAGTTCGTTTTACAAAAATGATTTAATCAAATGTGTTTTGGAGACATTCTGTCGATGTACTTCCATTTAATCTACTTTTTTGAGATTCAAGTTTGAATATCGAAAAACGAGTCATTCGCCAATATCGAAAAACGAGCTAGTTGTTTTTCGCTATTCGCCAATATTGAATAACGAGTAGCTCGTTTTTCGTTATTCACCAATATCGAAAAACGAAAAACGAAAATCGAGCTGAATTCACCGGACACCAGAAATATAACTTTCCAAAAAGAAATGTTTATCCTGCCCCCAAAACAATATTTATAGACCCCCGTTTATTACAATGATTTTAAATGTTTCAGATTTTAATCCATTAGTTGATTACGATTCCCGAACAATTGATGATCGATGCCCGAAATATGTCGCACAAAGCAAGACAAAATGTTTTAATCCGTAGTCATTGTAAATGAAGTAAAATAACTGTTTTATAAGCATGTAAATGTCATCGGATTTCGGACACTTTATTCTTTACCCACGCCCCACTTCTTTTTTTCGCTTTGTCTGTTGACCCGAAAAATGTGTCTATTTGTCTACGGTAAAGACAAAAGTAGTTGTCTATATTTTACCGTAGAGTGTGGGAGGTCAGTTTCTTTCTATACATCCTTCGTGATTGAATTAGCACGATTGTCGTTCTTGGATCGTCTTATAGTCGTGCTCGTAAAAGATCTTTTGGCAGATAGAATTCGATAAAAGAGTTGGCCGAGGCACAGTCTGGGCGAGATTTCCCTCATAGCACACTGCATGGCGTATGTCCATCTTCATTCGTCCAGTTGGAGCAGAACAGTAGGACGTTAAACCCCATGTCATTTCATTTAGATGGTCTTATGGACTATGATATAACGGAGTAGACGCCCAGTAGGGATTTATCCATGTCTATAATAGTATATTACTAATGTTGCTACGTTACCTTGTATATATATAATATGTACAGCCAGTAAAATAACTATAATATAATAATACGTGTATATATCCATGGCCGACATCTTACTGTTCTACATTTAAAGGTTATACATGTAAATATAGACAAGGAATGTTTTAATGGGTTCGTTGTATACGGTTTATATGATTGGGTTATTACCAGTACATGCAGTCAGTAAAATATTTATACTATCAAAATACACGAATATACTGGGCTACTGTTATATTTATAGAAAGGTTTGAAAGGGAATATGATCTTCGTGTAAGAACGAGGGTGTATTCGAAACAGCAGGTTTGTGAACGATGGAAGAACACGAGAACACTTTGACGAGTCTCGAACATGAGAGAACGGTATCCGTGGTAACAAGTTGAATTAGATTTATACAATCTATTACTGTAACTGTATAAGTACTGTATTACGCATAAATGACTTCGCTATTAAGCATAATTTTGATACATGACTCCGTTTTACTCCTTTTCAATTCTTTCGGTTAATTTCTTCTGGAGTTATGGCCCTTGTTTCACTTTGCTGCACCTTGTGAACGCTGTAACGACAAAAGTTATCATACGATCTGTATGAAAATGCATTTGCATCATTTAAATTAGTGAAACGAAGACCTCTATGAAATTTCATCAATTAATGTTAATTAACTCTAGAGTTATGGCCCTTGTTTCACTTGTTGAACCCTGTGAACACTCTAATGATAGAAGTTATAATCCGATCTGTATGAAATTTTAATGCATCATTTTAATTAGTCAAATGGAGACTCCTATTGAATTTTAGCAATTTTCATTAATTACGTCTAGAGTTATGGCCCTTGTTGAACCTTGTGAACGTTCGTGAAACAAAATTAAACATCCATCTATATGAAATTTGTAGACATTATTTAAATTAGTAAAACAACAAAATCTGTCAAATTTCAACAATTAAGGCCCTTGTTTCAGTTTGTAGAACCTTTGTAAATCCACAAACGACGAAAATTATAATCTGATCTGTATGAAATTGTCTTGTAAATAATAATAATGAATTTGTATAGCGCCTCTCATCTAGTACTGTTCTACTCGATGGCGCTGCATCCATTACCTTCAAAAGAATGAATATGCAACAACCCTTGTCGACTGCACGGACGTTTTAGCTGCTTGATGCTTTACTGGCCACATACTACATGCAGTTTAAACTGTTAAATTAATAAATGCATCCATGATGCTGTTTTTCGGCAGTTGTCGACGCATCAACAATGTTTGTTCTCGCCTCACACCAGCTAACGACGTAGTTTTGAATTTGAGTTCGCGAACGCATTTCAGGCTGTTCCAGACCGACAAGAACCCATTCTCCGTCCGTTCTCTGCATCGGAACACTGTTCAGAATACACCCCAATAGATTGATAGGTTTGTAAAGGAATATGATCTTCGTGTAAGAACGACCAATAGAATGATATGGTTGAGTAGATATTGTGTAATACATGTACTTGTATATAGACCAATAGATTGATATGGTTGGGTAGATATTGTGTAATACATATATATATATATATATATATATATATATATATATATATATATATTGCCACGCCCTCTGTCCTGAATCACTGTCAATGGGAAACCACACCGGAAAATTCCGGGTAACTTTATCTATAGGAATATCCTAATAGCCTACATGAATAGAGGACATATCTGTCAGACTCGAGTCTCAATCAGTGTCATTGTTCAATGAAATTGGGTTTAACGTCCTACTGTGTCAATGTTAGCCGCTGTGGTACTGTCACGGCCGACGTACCTTAGGATTATGAAAAACGTATGTAGAAACGGCGCCGACATGACCAAATTCTCTATCCTCACATTGTAAAGTAACCTAAGAAATGAAGAGAGTTATATCGTCCCTCTATACACGATCACGATACTATCTATAAATAAAAAGAGTTATATTGTCCCTCTATATACGATCACGATACTATCTATAAATAAAAAGTGGTATATCGTCCCTCTATATACGATCACGATACTATCTATAAAGCAGGAGACACGGAGTTAAATAAGGGATCAGTTCTAGAGATTTGTAAATATGACCGTATTATACAACAATAAAATGTCCCCGAGTCTTTATTAATTTAGTCAGATTTAAACCTGATGTAATATTACAAACTTCTGTAAAATATGTTTTATATAAAATGTTTCAGTATAATTTAAACCTGATGTAACAAATTTCTGTAAAATATGTTTGTTTTGATTGAAATATTGATTCAGCAAATGACGATCATATTTAGTTTCAGAATCTCAAATAATTTATCTAGATTTAAAGAATTTCCATGACTGAGTATTTAATAATCCTTTCAAGAAAATATTGACTTAAATTTTCAATTTCTTAAATGCTGCAAGCTCTCTATGCATGTTTGATTTGGTGAACGATCCGCCTGCTTGTGGTGATTACAAACAAATTATTCATGTATATGAATTATGTGATAAAGTGAGAGTCGAGATTATCAGAATGTGGTTAGAGGACCAGTCCCACATAACAATATGATGTTAATTTTACGTTACATTTACGTAAAAATGGTCAGTCAGTTTACCATCATTTTGCTCATCTTTTTAACGATAATTTTACGTCAGGAAATGACGTTAATCTAACGTAAACTTTACGTCATTTTTACGTTATATTTACGTCATTTTCTGACGTAAATCTAACGTAAACTTTACGTCATTTTCTGACGTAAATCTAACGTAAAATTTGCGTAAAGTTTACGTCATTTTCGTTAGATTTACGTCAGAAAATGACGTAAACTTTACGTTAGATTTACGTCAGAAAATGATGTAAATATAACGTAAAAATGACGTAAACTTTACGCTAGATTAACGTCATTTCCTGACGTTAAATTGTCGTTAAAAGGATGAGCAAAATGATGGATATCTAACCGACCATTATAACGTAAATCTAACATTAAATTAACATCATTTACGGATGCAATTCTAATGTCAAATTTTGATGACCAAAGTTACGAAAATATAACAAACCATTAAAACCTTCAAAATTATTCATTATTTGCGGCAGTAAATGGGAAGTACATTCAATCAAAAATCAAATTTTCCTGACCCGTGGGTGAGGCTAAAAGTTGAGTGGTCCAACGTGTGCGCTTTAGATCATAAGGTCTGTCATTGAGTCAAGTGGTTTGTTTCCACACCCAACTTGAACATGGGTTTTCTCTGGGTCCTCCTACTACTAAAGATTCCTGGTGCGGATGAATTATTCAACTTGAATTGAATCACTTAGTCCCAAAGGACAGTTTATGTCTATTGGATGTTTTACCCCATTGCTCTCTATCTACCCATAACCAGTCAGAATTCTAAATGTATTGCACAGAAAAGTTAAAAATCTAGCAGAATAATATGACAAAATATACTACAAGTATGTATACATATACTTTATTTAAAAGACAAAAATATAATGTTATAAAATACAAAATACACATTTAAATATTAACAGTTTTTATCCACAGCTGTTTGAGAAATGAAGACGGGCATATGCCACACAGTGTGCAGAGCTATGGCATACTCTTATATAAAATTCCAACTGCCAAGGGATCTTTCACACACACACACTTGAGTTTACACTGTACCTTGTTTTTTTGGTCCCTTCCGTATGACTAGTCAGCCATCCATGTCAGGTCCTCTGTCCGGCATCACTGACAAGGGAAAATGTTCAAGAAAAAGGTCTACATTAGCGCTATGAAAGTGCTGATATGCATATAAGAAAGAAAAAACTGGGATATTGACCAAATTGGGCCAAAACCTATAGCCTCTATCTTATTTGCTCAAGGTATTGATGGAATAGGAGTTAACTTTGGAATGAGTGAAATGAAATGGGGTTTAATGTCCTATTCCGACAGGGCTAATGACATGGAAATATGCTATACAGTGTCCTATTATGGAATTTTATCCAGACAGCGGCGCTAAAGCCTACTCTTATATCGAATTCAAACTGCCAAGGGATCTTTGACATGCACACCAATGTGTGCACAGGACCTCGGTCATTCGTACCATCCAAACGACTAGACAGCTGTCCCTCCTTGTCAGGCCCTCTGTCCTGCACCTCTGACAAGGGGAGGAAACCAAGTCTGGAAATCACGAAGAACTTTCTCGGCCGACACTGGAATGGAATGTTGTGGAATGCTGAATATTGATAGGTTTCGTCCTCTCATGATTCCAGTGTGTAACACAAATTTGAAAAAGATCATTTAAGAATAAACACAGCATCTATTGCATTTGAAAAAGGGAGAATTAACCAAGGAAGGCAAAGTCCTGAAAAGCTGTATATTGATAATGCTTGTCCTCTCACAATCGGAATGATTCACATTTCACACCCAGTGTACGGACAAACAGGGCCAAAATTGATATGTGGGTGTATAAACAAAGATATATACTACACCAATATTACATGTGTTGCAGAATTGGTTTAACACATTTCAAATATAATTGTAACACGGATATTTGCAATGGTTGATCCATGACAAAAGATTTGAAATATTTTGAAGAGACGCAAAAGGTTACGCCATACAGTGTGCTATAAGGGAAATTTTGCCCAGGCAGCAACGCTATGGCCTACTCTTGTATCGAATTCCAACTGCCAGGGGATCTTTTATGTGCATGCCAATGTGTACACTGGACCTTGGTTTTTTTTTTGTCCCATCCAAACGACTAGACAGCTGTCCTTGTCAGGCCCTCCATCCTGCATCACTGACAATGGGAAACCACACCGGAAAATCAGGATGAACTTTCTCGGCCAATGCAGGGATCGAACACCCGACCTCAAGGCTAGCGAGTCAGCGTCTTACCCACTTAGCCACATGATCCCCCCTTGGCCTATGTACATGTAGAGATGAATTTTGAGCTACCTTTATATATATATTTCTATTTTTAAAACCCGCGACAAGTATATTTATATCAAGGATGTAACCCTCTATCAGTTAACCCGTCACGGATTGGTTGCATTGGTGAACCGGTTCAAAATATTCGTTTCATATCATACCTGACCTTCAAATCCAGGAATTGTAGCCACAACGGGGATCACATTGGTTAAG